AGNTGAAAACAAATAAACATGACAATATAAAACAGTTGAACAAAAAATCTGTTAATACGGTGGGCACAGTGTAAAAAAAACGACTGCTACCATTACTGCTGCTGCCGCTACTACTACTACTACTACTACTACTACTACTACTACTACTACTGCTGCTGCTGCTGCTACTACTGCTACTGTTACTGCTGCTACTACTACTACTACAAAACATGAACATTGACAACAAAGTAAACGAAAATAGACGCCAAACACACGACAACAACGATATCAAGATGATGATGATGTTGTTGTTGATGTTGTTTTTGATTTTGTAGCTGTTGTTGTTGTTGATATTGTTATTTTTTTTGGTTTTGGTTGCTGTTTATGTTGTTGTCATTTTGGGTGCTAATGTGTGTAATTGAAATGTTTATATAGTGTTGGGTCTGTCCACTTGGCTTGCTATTTTTAATGTTGTTGATGTTGATGTTGTTGTTGTTGTAATCGATGCTGTTGTTGCTGTAGTTTTGGCATACATAAACATACACACACACACATACACACCACACACAGACACACATTCACACACACACGTGAACGAACGAACGAACGAATGTTCGATCGAAACACATACGAAGACACACACAACACGCATGGAGATACATACATACATACAAAACAACACAAACGCACACACACACACGCACGCATACACATAATTGCACGTACATACATACATATGTACCAAAGCTTAATGCGTGTTATATGCTCCCCTCTATATGCACCATACATACGTTTCGCACTGCCTGATACTCTCAAATGCCTTTGAAAATTTAAATTTTAAATTGAAGTTTAAATTTTAAATTCTTGAATTTTAAATTTCTGAGTTCAAATTTTGTTATTTTGGAGGATGAAAAGATGCGGTTAGTAAATTATTTTGTAATAAAAATGATATTAAATATTAGAATTATTTATGAATGAAAAAGTTCAGGGTTTGTTTAGTTTTTTAGAGATTTATTTAAAATTGAGTTTTTTTTAAATTTAAATATTTAAGTAAATCATGAAATATTTTCATGTTTTTTTATTATTCTATTAATTATGAAATTAATTAAGTGTCTGCTGTTGATGATTTTGATGTGTTTTATTTCAAAATAAAATGTTTGAACTGAATTTTGATACAAATAAAGCCTTCGAATAAAGGAAGAAGCATTTGTAATTATCACAGATTTTCAATTTACTTATTTTAAATTCACAATTAATAAATGTTAATTAGTATTATTAAATTATCATTTTTTATATATTTAATAATAAAATTGTCAAAAATGTCTCGAAAGATGCGTATTAATCATGTTTTTGATAACTAGCTTATTTATTATTTTGCTTAGTTATGGAAATTCGCTTTTACTCTATGATAAAAACACAAACAGCTGATAGTTGTCATAGCAACTGATTTTGTTTGAAAGTACTTTCAAACGTTTTTTTAATTTATTTAACTGTTTAATTCGTTAAAGCTTATTTTTTTGAATTAAAATTAAATAAATAAAAAAATGAATTTAAGTAAAAAATGTCCAAAACATCGTTTGCTAGTCTACGGTGTTTTAAACGAGGTTGATTTTCAAATGGCTAAGTGCTGCGCTGAGGTTCTCAGACGTTGTTGACTTGACTGACTTAACATTAACTTTAAGTTTTTAACTGTTGGAACAACTTTCAGAGATTGAATTTTCCGTAAATTAGTAGAAAATTAATTGAAAAATATTTGAAATCTGTAAATATTTTAGTTTTTAATCTCATTTTTACTCATTTCCCATGCAGGACTTGTTCAACAAGAGTCCCGACCTATTCAAGAAACCTCACATTGAACCAATGCTGGAGTTTGAATGGTCGGAATTTATTGAGAAGAAAATAAAAGTTTGTTTGACAAATTTTATTAAAAATAATAAAAATCACATTAAATATAAAAAAAGTTGTGGCAATAATAATTCTTAATAAATCGTACTTATCTATTCTAAAAATTCAAATTCGAGTTATAAATCTTATTCTCAAGGAATTGAAAGGCGAGCTATGGTCATTCAACAACAAGACGCTAATTTTTTTAGGTGATGATGCACTTGGCGGCCCAAAAGAGTTAATAACGTGGGCAGAATCAGTTGATTGCTACGAAAACTACAGACCCATGTCCCTCTACGAGGTGTTAGCCAACGAAGCTTATAAAAGCCATGTCGCCTCTAAAAATGTATAGCAATTGTACCTTCATTTTAAACACTGCTAGATGGAATGATTAAGGGATGTGTGATTGATGCGTGTGGATTTAGGCGTGTACGGATATCTTAAAGAATTAATTGTGGCGGAATTATTATTTATAATAATAATATTATTATTTATAATAATAATATTATTATTTATAATAATAATATTATTATTTATAATAATAATATTATTATTTATATAAAATCATAGTTAAAACTACTAAAAGTATTCAACGCTCGTTCGTTGAAAAGAATTTAAAGTAAGAAAACCAGCAGCATACAGTGTAGTGTGTTGTACCTACAAATCAATTTATATATGTAATAATTTCATTTGTTTAAATACATACATAACTCCTACCCCGTTATATCTGCGACAGTCAGAATTTAGTTTTCAATCACACACACACACACACACACACACACACACACACACACACACATGAACACCACACACACAGAGACAGACAGACACACATACACACACGTAAACACACACATCTAGCATACGTTCGTGTACATGGATTTTACGATTGATGAATCTCCCATTGGAAGAATTATCATTGAGGTTAGCTAGTTCCTTTCCGTAAAATTTCGTCTCGTTTCGTTTTGTGATGAAAAAAAATTGTACATCTTTTAAATGTTATCTCGCTTGAAAATTACGAACTCCAAGTGAATTTGACAAAATGTAAACTTGTTGCTTCTTGTTTTGATAACGCTAATATGCGTTTGTATTTGTGTGTTTCTTCATTTTAGTGGATTAAATTTATTTTCAAAATTAAGTTATTACAACCAACCATCTAACCAACCATTCAACCAACCAATCGACCAGCTATACGACGACATCGTACCAGACACGTGTAGAAACTTTCGAATGTTGTGCACCGGTGAGCTTGGCTCGGCTAAGGGGTCCGAAGTTCGCCTGCACTACAAGAGGTCGATCATTCATAGAGTCGTCCCTGGTGGGTGGATCCAAGGTGGAGGTACCCACATTCTTTGTTATTTTATCTACGGTTTTTTTATCTACGGTTCTTATTATCGTTCTATTTATTATTAGTTTAATCTATTATCTTAGAGTAAGTCCCATATTTCTTTGCATTTTTCCAACATTTCTTCGACGGCCTTCAAACTGCCAGCTTCAATTATCTCTTCTGGTAGTATGGGCCTACCGTCAGTTCTGCCGCTTTTCATGTTTTGTAACGTCTCAGTTGCTTTTTTCACTACACACTTTAAAATTCCACCGTTGCAATTCGTCTCTTCATCTCCTGCTTATCTTTCTTTAAGTTTTTTAAGATGTAATGATTATTATTATTATTATTATTATTATTATTGTAATTATTATTATTATTATTTTCACCACCCCAGACATCAAAGCGTTGAAGGGCAACGATGGTATATCCATATATGGCGATGTATTCAGTGGTACTTCAATCTAACATTATTTTTTGGGGGGGGGGTTTCTCGTGTAAATAAATTGTTGAAAAGTTTTTGTTTGATCACTGCTTACTTGAATTCAGACTACAAACAACCAATCATTTAACAAACTTTTTCAACCAACCAGTCAATCGATAAACATAATCCACCAAACAATCATCAAACTGTCTCACCAACCAACCAATCATAAAATCCACTCACTCAACCTACTAACCAATCAGCAAACTGCCTCAACCAACCAGCCAACCAATTGGCAAACTGCCTCAACCAACCAGCCAACCAATCAAAAAACCCACCCAACCTACCAACCAATCAGTAAACTTCCTCGACCAACCAACCAATCAATTAGCAAACTGCCAACCAATAAAAAAACCCACCCAACCAACCAATCAAACACGCAGACGAGAACTTCATTGTGAAACACGACAAACGGGGCGTGGTGGGCATGGCCAACAAAGGGCCCCACACAAACGCCTCCCAATTTTACATCACCCTGCAGCCAGCCACCTGGATGGACACCAAATACGTCGCTTTCGGGTTATTACTTAGAGTGGGGTGGGGGTAGTCTTATCAGGAAGGGTGTTGATTGGTTGTAAAAATTATAGTAATTATTTATATTATTATTATTTTATTATTATGGTTATTATTATGATTATTAATAATTCAATAATCCCATTATCTCCCTCGTTATAATATAAGGATGCTGGTTAAATCGTTGAAATACGCTATCACGGGTTTCTCAATGAGAAAAAATTAATGATATAATTGTGGTATGAGCGAATGAATGAGTGAATGGATGGATGGATGGGTAAATGAATGGATAGATGAATGAATTAATAGATGAATTAATGATTGAACGAAGAAACAAACGAATGAATGAAAAAATTTGGCTGGCTCATGGATACTTATTCGGTTTGATTTCTAGGTAAATGTGATAATATCGATAAAACTTATTGACGGATCATTATCGAAAGATCGATTGATGGATTGATTGATGGATTGATGGATTGATTGATTGATTGATTGATTGATTGATTGATTGATTGATTGATTGATTGATTGATTGATTGATTGATTGATTGATTGATTGATTGATTGATTGATTGATTGATTGATTGATTGATTGATTGATTGATTGATTGATTGATTGATTGATTGATTGATTGATTGATTGATTGATTGATTGATTGATTGATTGATTGATTGATTGATTGATTGATTGATTGATTGATTGATTGATTGATTGATTGATTGATTGATTGATTGATTGATTGATTGATTGATTGATTGATTGATTGATTGATTGATTGATTGATTGATTGATTGATTGATTGATTGATTGATTGGATGGATGGATGGATTGATTGATTAATTGATTGATTGATTGATTTATTGATTGATTTATTGATTGATTGATTTATTGATTGATTGATTGATTGACAGGCAAGTTGTGGATGGTTCATCAACGTTGAAAATAATTGAGAAGCAAGCAACTCAGAACGACAGACCAACTAAGGAGATTCTTATAACGAACGTCGGACGATGCCCACTTGACTCATAATCATTTTTCTATAACTTAATATAATTATAATTATTATTATATAATTTTTTTTGCTCTCTCTTTCTCTCCTTTTTTTTCTTCTTTTATTCATAATGTCTACCGTCTCTTTATCCATCTATTTGTATCTATCTATTTCTACCACCATGATTTCTTTCCTTGGCATTCTGTCTTTCTTTTTCTCTCTCTTTCTCTCTTTTCTCTCTCTCTCTCTCTCTCTCTTTCTCTCTCTCTCTCTCTTACTTTCTTGTTTTACAATATAATACAATCATCCTAATCACTTGTGACCGCATGCTGAAATCCAGGGTCATCCGTCTCTAACGCACCCTTAACTTACCTACTCAATACAATTATCCCTGGCTTACTTAAATTTCAAAACTCAAAAGGCCAATTCAATCGCCATTCGGCACCCGCCCACCTTGCCTTGGGCTCCAAATTAATAATAATATCCATCTATCTATCTAAATTAGAATTTTTTCATTTTTCTTCTTCCTCCTTTGTTAGCACATGATTCTGTTAGCCATTAGTTTCGCTTCCAGGTTATTCAATTAAATTCAAAACATTCTAAAGAACTTTTACATTAATACTTTTTTAATTATTACAGTTAATATTATAAATATTATTATTATTATTACTATTATTATGTCAATTTATATATTTTTTTAAAAAAGTAACTACATCATCATCGCTAATTATCAGTGCTGTTATTATTATTGCTGTTATTATTATTATTACAATTATTATTACTATTAAGAAATAATTATAAAAAGGATTTATTGTCGTTATTATTATTTTTTTTATTATGAATAATATTATGTGTGGATATTTTTATAGTGAATCCGGTTATGTCAATTAATTATACCGCTGTAGTATTTATATATGATGATAAAAACTGATCGCTGATTTTCAAACACAAGCGTTTTTTTTCACAAATAAAATCTATATTTAATTATAATTAATTTTAATTAATTAATAATGATAAAATAGCCATTATTTCACAATATATTATTGCTATAGTTATAATTTAAAAATAGTGATGTTAATAATAAATGCATAAATTTTATTGGTTACATTAAGGTTATAAGTCACACTTGTAATATGTGATAGTAGAAATAATATTAATAATATCATTATTAATTGTAAAAATACTAATAATAATAAGGAAATTTTGTACCTGTGATGAAGACGTGCCTATTTTATCTATGTTTCTCTATGACCGTTTTGTCTGTCTTCAGCAAGGTTTGGTTACTTTTTAATTTAACAGGGCAAAGATGTCAAAATAAAGTGTATGAAATTTGGCAATAGATTGAGCAAACATTCACGAACATTTACATTTTTTCATAAAATATTTGAGGGGTGGTCAAACCTACGGGCTTGGCTTACCCCTACTCTGAGTACAAGAGGTTTGAAATGAACATTGACTCTTCCCTGTCTTTTGTGGCTTTGTGTCTAAAGAAAATTTAAAAGTTACTCGAATAAAGTAGTTATAGCTGTAAATTTAAAATTTATCATGAATCAAACATTGCGAGAACGTTTTCTGATGGAAAATAAAGTCATTGAGACAAACTTAAGTTATACTATTATAACATTTGTTAATTTATAAATCTTCTTATAATTTGGGATTAATAATACGTTTAATTATACAAGTACTTACAATTCTGCGCGTAAAACATTGAGTGTATACGTTAATCTTGCTCTGACGTAACGACATGATTTCATAAAAAGTTAAAAAAAAGTCTTTTACACTCTTCCAAGGGTCGACAACACATTGCTCATGTAAATACGGCACAATGCAATAGGCGTTCGTTCATTCGTTCGCTCGTTTATTCATCCATTAATTCATTTAGTTATTTATAATTTATTTATTTTAATCAGCATTTTCCCAGGGGCGGTTCAGTTACTTCAAGTTCAAACAGGAATAATCCTTATGACAAGAACATTCCAGCCAGGTGGGCGACATTGCCCGCAACTACCACAACTACCAAAATTTCCACCAACACTAAATGCCCTTATGAAGATGAAGGTAGCTTGTTCGACGAAATATATATTTAGAAAAAGTTATTTTTAATTTATTAAATTAAATTTCACAAAGACTTTTTAGAAGAATTGCGACAAAATTTCATTTTTTTTTTTAGACTGGAAATTCTCAACCTGCCGTCTTGCATTAACATACTTTAAAGAACTCTAAATGGATTTTCGCAACTAGGCTGTATATAAATGTAGGCAAGACTATTAAGCCATAAAGTGATGGTTAAACAGGTGAAACTTTGAACAATGAGTTTCATAATGTTTTCAAAGGTATCAAATGGTTGAAGTATCTCTATAACATTAGCATGGTAGTTCTCCCAGGCAGCACAACTGACCGGATCCAAATTGCAAAAATATCTAATAATAATTAAAAATAAAAATATAATTAAAATAAAATAATTTGCACTGAATAACAATGAAAACTAAGTAGTTATTTACTTTCTACGCAGATGTAATTAGCAAGCTTAAGTGTTCCAACGAAGTCGTTGACAATCGAGTTGGATGCAGATGGTCCCGAAAGCCTGAAGCTAAACCGAAAGCATTGATCTACACTCTTTATAAGTTATTTAGGGATGATAAGCTCGAGACCATCAGAACCAATAAGGCTATGAACCTGGAAATTACTTCATATTCTCTACCCGAGGTGACCTTTGGCTCGAGATACAGGATCGACGTCTGTAGTCGAATCTGTCTATTTTTTCATTGTGAACAGACTGAATTTTCAACTAGTTAGTTATGCATTTATATTTTTGATGTTTTTGTATTTATTATTATTATTAATGTTTTTTTATTATTAATGTTTTATTATTATTATTATTATTATTATTATTATTATTATTATTATTATTATTATTATTATTATTAAAGAACCTGTAGAGTAAAATCATATGGTATGATGGATAATGGCAATTGTGTAATATCACCTATTTTTATAATTTTTTTTAATAATAATATTATTATTATTTATTATTATTAATATTATTAACAATAACAACATAATAACGACATGAGCACTGATAAGAATGCCAGTGGTGATAATGATGACGACGACGATGAAGATGATATTAATTATATAAAGTTTCACAGTAATAATAATAATAATGGCAATTAGACTGCACCTTTTATTCAATATAGGCTTAATCATTAGACTTCTGCTAAATTATAGAAGGAAATTTTTATTAATATCATATAAATATTTACATTATATGATTGGTGTAATTAGTATAATATAGTATAATTATATGAATGGTTAGTACAAATTACTACTAAGTAAACATTTTGCAGTAATAGAATTGAAGTCAAATTAATGCTATTGTAGCTAGGTTATACTATACTATTATATATGTTTCTTACTAAGACAAAAGGCGCGCACATACGTTTGTAAGCAGTTCCAGAGCACACACACAAACACACAAACACACAAACGAACGCATACAAACAAACGCAACACACACACATACATATTTATATACCTACATACATACATACTCACATACACTTTTTAAACAGCACCCGACATAAATGATGGCCTTATATCAAAAATGACTTCGGACGTGACGGAAATTGGAATTCACTTCGACACATCTTCTGTGAAGGACTTCGTTGAGAAATTTCACGTGGAATATTCCAGGCGCAGTGAATATTTTGACACGCCCAACGTCGTCTTGAAAAACCTGTCACCAGCTACCCTCTATGAAATTACTGTACGAACGAGGAGTAACGAGCTTGAAAGTGACAAAATCAAGCGAGAAATATATACAAGTGCCTTTCTTTTTTAATTTAATTTAATTATTATTTGATCGATTTATAATTAATTAGTTAATTTGTTCTACGAATCAATTTGTTTCTCATTCCGCGTAATTATAAATGAGTAGTGACCTCTCGGAAACAATAAAAAAATCTCGACACACGACAATTGATGCAGAGCCCATGATTCCAATGGCAGTGTGCTCAGAGACATTTTCACCCAGAAGTATTTCCTTCCAGCTGGTGAATGAAAGTGTAGATTATGAAAAAACAATCATAAAATATGAGTTGCTAGAAAGAGAGTTGTACTCTGATGATCATAGTAGAAATAACTCACTTGCTGTAACTTCGTCTCAGGAAGTTACGAGAACAGAGGATAGTTCATTATTAATTACTGTGGAAGATTTACTCCCAAACTCCACATATCGCTTTAAGGTGTTTGCGAAAATCCGTGAAACCGAAATTTCTGGTGGCGATTCCTTCTTTACATGTGAAACTGATATTTCGGGTGAGTACTCTTTTAAAAGTTTTGTTTTGAATTTTTTACTCAAGAAAAAAAACTTTTTAAAAAATTTTTATCTTAGTTTTTTCATTTCTGTTTCTCACTAATCTAAAAAATTGAATTATATGTCATTACAAAAAATAGAGCCGCTGATAAAAAGTGACTGCGAGGACTGCAAACAAATTGAAAATGTAAGTGTAACGGAGAACTCAGCGACACTCAACCTCTGCAATGTTTATCTGCAGGATAACTCCACGATCGAAAACATAATTCTTTATGCTGCTGAAATATCTGAAAAAAACGTAAAACATGACGCTATAAAGGCTCAAAATATAAGTTTCCATTCTGAAGAGTGTAAAATGCAGAATGAAGTGATTGAAAGTTTGACGCCTAACACCAAATATGAGGTCTATGTGAAAGTGTTCAATAAAAGAGGACAGTACAGCCAAACTAGAAGCATCTCTTTCAAAACTGGTAATATTTCGTATTACGATATCGTCGGAAAAACATTTTTATAACTAAATTTTTCTTCTTTAAAGACTCAATGTTAGTAGGCAGTTTAAAAATTAAGATAGTAAGTAAATCATGTTATCAGATGTCGAACCTGTAAATTACAAAAGATCATTAGGAATCACTTTCATAGTCATCATTGTCATTGTCCTCATCAATGCCATAGCCTATACCCTCATTCGTCGCTATTACTTGTTGTCTAGGAAACACGACGTTCGGAGGTATTCAACATCTACAAAATCTGCTAATTTGAGAAGTTCCTTAGCTAACAGGGTACTTCAATTTCATTTCAATTCAAAGTTTCACATTGATCTCAACTGATGTATTTTTTTCAATTCATCAGTTAAAGATCAGAAGCAGACATGTTCCTGCAAGGTTTTTGACTTTATTTAAAAAATTTACGATTTCAATTTAACAATTGATCGGCAGCTGTGCCTACATTTTATTTTCCATATGCTGGGCAACAAAATCATTCTTTCAGTTAGAAGACGGTCGTCTGCTTTACATTTCATTAAAGACAACTTGCTAATTCAGCTGGCTGAGGCTGCGCGAATTTAAACATTATTTTATTATAAAGAATAGATAGAAAGTACAATCTTACAAAAGCAAATTGGAAACGTTTTTCTCTAAACTTTTAGCAAGCCTGTCAAAAAAACTGAATTTTGTGCCCATGTCCAGGAGATGGAAAAAAATGATGGGATGATGTTCTCTGATGAGATGGAAGTAACTAACCTTTGTTTCTTGAATCACATTTTATCACAAATCCGTTTACTCCATTATTATAGTTGAAATTAAGGATTTCAAAAACCAGGAATTTTAAAAATATTCATCGTGAATAGTCATTTAATCACTGTACAAATTTGTATATTTCCAGGACCTAAAGAACGTTGGCAAACATTTGGCGCAAATCTATAGCAAAATGGGTCAAAACAAGGCCAAAAATAGGCAAACTTTTAAGTTTAACTCTCTTAGTTACTCATTATATTAATTAAATAAACGATTTATAAATAAACGAATATTTCATTGAAACGAATGAAGATTCATAGATATCCTGCCATACGACAACACCAGAGTGAAGTTGACAATCATTGATAACGACCCTACATCCGATTACATCAATGCAAACTGGATAGAAGTACGCTTCTGTGAACATTTTCAATTTTTATCACGTCTTTCGATACGATTTTTATATAAAAGTTGTGAAACGCCTCTGGCTATTTCTTTCAATTCAAAGTCATGCTTAGAACGAGTTCGACTCTTTCAGCTATTATAGTTAGCTAAAAAAATAAAATAATAATTAAAAAACATAAAAAGGCCCCCAAAATGAACCAAAGTTCATAGCCGCTCAAGGTCCATTGCCAGGCACGGTCAATGAATTCTGGAGAATGATCTGGGAACTTAAATGCCACGCCATCGTCATGCTCACTGACTGCATCGAAAACAAAATGGTAAGCCTAAAATTTATTGATTTTTTACTGCTAATTAGAAAAAGATGTTATCCAATAAGCCCACATGCATAAATATTACATTGTTCAACCCTATTGTTTGTGAAATAATATATGTTATCTAATGAATTAATGACGATACCAGGTTAAATGTGAGAAATATTAGCCTTCTGAAAATACTAATAAGGAAGCACACACAAAAGAAAATAAAGCTAATGAAGAAGACACTGATAAAGCATTCATACCATATGGAAACGTGGAAGTCTCTCTCAACCATGAAGTCAAGTGTGAGTCATTCCATGTTAGAGGCTTCAAACTTAAGCAGGTCGGCATTTACAATTTTCAACATAATTTGTTGAGAAATTGACGAGAATAGTTTAATAATCAGACATTGAAACTATTCGGTAAACTACTAAAAAACAGAGTGTCAGAGTCGGATAAAAAATATCCGACTCCGATTTCTCAAAAAAATCCGACTCCGGTAAAATTCTTTGTAAAATTATTATATTTTTATGCTTTAATTAATATACTTATTGCTACACTCATTTATTTTCCAAAAAACTCCGGTTCCTCAAAAAATCCGGACTTTCAAAAAATTCTGACTCCTGACTCCGGCACTGTTAAGCTAAACAATATGTTAAAAATCTCTGTTGAATTTGTTTGTTGACTTGCTAGGGTGGGAGGTTACATTTCGTCAGGCATTTTCATTACTTGAATTGGCCCGATATGGATGTACCGGACATAAACAGCTTTATCAATTTCATATCAAACATTCGAAAAACTCTAAAAGCTGACAAAGAAGCCAATCCAAAATGTAGAGCACATACTGTGGTTCACTGCAGGTAATATTTTTTGTTCGTCACTTTTTACTCAGAATCTGGAACTGTGGATATTTAATTATGCCATTTTTCTCTTTCATTGCATTGTTTACCACAAATAGTGCAGGAGTTGGCAGAACTGGTACCTACATAGCTCTGTACAATCTTATACACCAGCTGGAACAGAACAAAGAGTTTTTAGATGTCTATGGAGAGGTATACAAAATGAGATTGGCCAGAAGAAACATGATTCAAACTGAAGTAAAAATTTCTTGTCTTTTTGTGATAACAGCTCCAATGATTTTCATTCAATTTTCGTATATTTATTCATATGTTCATAATTTATAACACAGAAACAATACAGATTCCTTTATAAAACTTTGGAATACATATTGAATAAACACGAAGAGAAAAAAAAACAAGCAGATCTTGGAAGTTGCTGAAGGAGACGATAAGAAAAACATCCAAGAAAAAACTGAAAAAGGTTCACCAAATTTAAAACAAAAGCTACCAATTATAAATTATATAAATTATACAATAAATTACACAAATCAATTTCATTTTTTTCATCCACCAGACAACAATGAATCGAATGGTGACGCTGCGGCTATTAAAGCTGCTGAACACAGCGCCGTCGACACCGGCCCCACTGAAGGGAATACAACTGTTGACGACGGGCTCCAGAGGTAAATTGTAAAACGTGTTTTCGTTATTAAAATGTAACAATATCAACAATTTTTTCAGAACCAAAATATAGAATACTCGACTTTCACCACGATCCCATCGCCAGTTTTTTTTTCCTTTTTCTACTTCCTCTTCTAATTATTTATCTGCCCTCCATTCGTGGCTTGAACTTCTCTGGTTTTCCTTGACTTGCGATGTTAAAAATGAAATATAAAACGAACGCATCGAAGACGTTGATCTATTTTAGTTTTAAATGTTATTTTATTTTACTAAAATTTAAAACATGAACACGTTGTACAACTCTTTTGCAAATATTTTATTTTCGTAGTAAAAAAATAAAAAATGGTCAATTTGTTCATTGTTGTTTGTGTTGTGGTTTTCGTTATTTTTAAGAATCGACAAATAAAAAAAATAAGTGTGGCAAATGTCCAACAACCCAAACAAGATTTCGAACGTATTTCAAATTAATTAGAGATATATTTTCATCGTCGGGACGAACGAAATCATTCCGAACACTGAAATCCAAACAGGAACTATGTTGGGGACGACATAGTTTATATAACGTAGGAGGCCACGTGACCATCCGACAGCCAATAAGAACGTAAAAACGCTTTTATAAGTCACGTGTTTACAGCTAGGCTGCAAACGAATCGGTATATAAATAGTGAGCAAGCTTGCCTTATTTTCATTTTATCGAAAGCCGATTTTGCGTCGGGTCGTCGCGTGTTATATTTGCGTTATACATATTCTCTTATATATTCAAAAATATGTGCGTATGTATGGTTATATAGAAGTATATATTTATGCATATGCATATGAACGTTGCACGTAAGCGTTTGTAATTATGCGTGTTTTGTTTAGCCGTGTGTACTGCGTGCGTATGAACGGTATATCAGATCATTAATATACCTAAAATAAAAATCTAAACGTAGGTCTTCTATACGCATAGTTTAATATAATATATTAGTATTGTATGATATATAACGCGCACAACACCGCTTATAATTTATTTGTGTATGTATGAAAAGGAGATCTCTATAACAACAAACAGTCGTACAAACACGTATACAAATTGTATGTATATAATATAGAGTTGTATAACACTGACGAAGGAAAGTATAACGTGCGATATTTCTTTATAAAGATTTTCTACTGAGTTTCCCTAGATTAAGGTTTGACTCTGGGGGACGTTCGGCCAACATGACCATCATAGTTTTTCTTGTGGACACAAGTTGCTCCATGAATCAGCGAACTTACGCTGGGACCACCTTTTTAGATACTGCCAAAAACGCCGTTGAGATGTTTATGAAGGTTGGTTGCAGGCCAGAAACTTAATTAGATTCTTAACCTCTGTTTCGTTAAATAAGTTTTTTTTGGGTAAATTTTTTCTGGACAGTTTCGCCTTTTTATTAATTGGTTCTAAAGCGGACGGGCCAATTAAAGATACCGGATAAATAAAAATCCCATTTCTAACCAAACCGGCATGAATTTTAACTGTGGATAATTGTTGAAACTTTGCAGATAAGATCAAGAGATCCGAACTGCCGATGGGACCGATACATGCTCCTAACTTTCGAGGAACCGCCCATGAACGTAAAGGTTGGAAAAACTAAGAATTAATTTTCAAAATTGAAAATAAATAAAAGACGAAATCAAATAAAATTATGATATATATAAATTTAATAAACGAACACAAACGAAACGGCGGAGAATTAATTTTTATTAATCAAAACCACAAAAATAGTCATAATTTTTCTGTCTGGTGTGCGTGTTTCTTCGAATTTTAGTGAATTTTGCGAATTTTCGACATTTCCACAGAGCATATTTATGCGCTGATTTGTTTACTGTGCTCAGCACCTATAGAATGCGTAGTAAAAAGTAGATCTGATGAAGCGCTTCATTTCTCAATTATATTTAGTATACTGTTTTCTTGTGGGAAATATGTTCTTGTGTTGGTTGTGATCGCTTGTGATGTTCCAAAAATGTATTTATTAGCACCGTAATTTCAACAATTTGCCAGTTTAAGAGGTTTCAGCTTAGAATTTTATATTCTTTGAGACACAAACTCCAAAAACGTCAATTAATACTCACAAAATTGCTTTATTTTAACAAAAAAAATATTAAATTTGAAAATCTTTAAGGCCGGATGGAAAGAAAGTCATGCCACATTCATGAAAGAATTAAAAAACTTGGAGGCACATTGTTTAACAACGCTTGGCCCTGCACTCAAACACACATTTGACATGTTAAACACCAACAGAATGCAGTCTGGGATAGATACATATGGCCAAGTACTTCATATCATGATATCCTTAAATATACTTTAATATTATAATAAATCGTGATATTATTCAAAATTATATTTAATTATAATTATGGTGTTTTATGGTGTATAAGATGTGTATTAAAGATTTGTGTATGATGATCATATGGTGTTGATAGCTGACAATGATTTATTCATTCGTTCATTCATTCATTCAATGACTCATTTATTTATTTACCCACTCGTTCATTCATTCATTTGTTCATTAATTCATCTCCTTTGAATGAAATTCATTAACTCAATGGCATATTTATCTCCATTTTAAAATTTGTCATTCAAATTTAAAGCCCATCAGTGCAATAATGAGTCAGTTGCATCATTAACACGGCTATCTCTCACCATTATTTTTGTCATCATCTCTTTAGTCATCACTGACTTTCCTATCAATTTCATGCATATCAATATCTTTTTTTTTATCACTTTAATTGTTACCATTGTTTCTACCATCACTATCTCTATTATCATTACTCCTCTCACCTTCATCATCATCTCCGTCATCGTCGTCATCGTCCCTACCATCATTGCCTTGCAGGGTCGTTGTCCTTTTTTCTTGGAGCCGGCAGTCATCATCTGCCTGACAGATGGTAAAAAGATGACCTCATTAACTGGTGCTTCTAATGAGGTTGGTTTTTTTAGGTCTTTCTCTATTAAATTGACATATTAAATTAGTTATAATGGGGGATTGATTTGAATGAAGGATTTATTTAAAAAGATTTTTCACCTTTCTGAAAGCAACTCATACGAATCACGCATGTGGAACTAATTTGATCAACCATCTAACTAGCATATCAATCAATCTACAAACTGACACGCAGCTAAACCTTCCGATGAATGTCGCTTGTTTGCCCGGATCCGAGCTAACGAAGGAACCGTTTCGCTGGGACCAGCGATTGTACGGTATCGTATTTAAAATGTCCGCCACACCAATTCAGGATAACCTAACTTACATTCCCTCCGATGACTCCAGTATCGATGCAATGTGTGAAGTTACTGGAGGTTAGTCGATTGGTTGGCCGATTTGGTTAGTTGGTTTAGCTAGGTAGTTGATTCAAAAGGATGGCTCGCTACTTTTATATTTGTAGTTTTTGATGTCTGACGGATTGGATGGATGATCCAGTTTACTCATTCATTCACCCACTTATCCATGCATGCATTTAATTAAACAGGTCGGTCGTACGCGGTTGCAACGCAGAAGATGCTGATGCAGTGCTTGGAGTCCCTCGTGCAGAAGTGCCAGAGTGGGGTTGTCGTTAATTTCGAAAAACTGCCCTCTGAACCCCACAGCAACAACAATAATAATAACAACAACAATGGTAATAGCAATAACTTAGGTAATATAACTTCGTTGATTCCAATATTTCATGTTGTAACGTCTTTCATTTTGATATTAACAAATGATTATTGTAATGATCCCACTAAGATTCCAACAACAACAATGGCGGAAGTGGAAAGTCTCAGAATTCGCCACAGAACCAACCATGGCACAACTGCAAGCGACTAATTTACGTACCCCGATCAGCTCAGAGAGGTGGAACTGTTGGGCACTGGCCTATACCTGAAGCCTATTGGCCTGATGCTTCTAGGGATGTGCTGGTAAGTTTTTGACTGGTTGGTTGTTTGGCTGGTTTACTCGATAGATGCTTGGTCTAATTTTTTGTTAAAATTTGTAAAAATTTCTACCAAGATTATAGTGATACTGTATACTGGTTTATGAGCTGTTGCACCGACCACAACACTCTCATGATAATATTTAATAATGATTATACTATTATCAATCCGCACATCCCTATTATGACATCATCAGCCCCCGAGGACAGCCCACCCAATAATAAATTTTTCCTGCCAACCATGTGAACCAATCACATTGGAGAATCTTCCATTCGACAAATACGAGATGGAGCCATCGCCACTGACGCAGTACATTCTGGAAAGAAGGCAGCCACATGTCGTTTGGCAGGTTGGCTCATTGATTGGGCAATTAATTGGACGATTGATTCACTGACTGACTGACGGATCGATTGATCAATTGAATGACTAATTGATTGACAGATTTTAAAATGAACATCGCATTTTTTAATCTCTTCCAAATTCCAGGTCTACATGCAGAACAGTTGCAACAAATACTCAACGTCAGATATAGGATATCCATTCGGTTACATAAAAGCCAGCACGACTCTTAATGCTGTCAACCTATTCGTTATGCCTTACAACTACGCCGTTCTAGTACCATTGCTTGGTCGGTAGTTGCTGTAGTAATCATTTTATTTATTATTTCTTCTCTAGTAGTATTGTAATATATCGGCAGTTTATTTACAATGCTAATAAATTTGTGAACTAGGATGTCTAGTAAATGAGAATGAACAAAGTAGATTGACGAAGTAGCGAAAGTATGAGATGGAAAATGGTTCATTTAGATAATTTTCTATTAAAATAAAAACTTTGTGTGCAAACATTTGAAATATTTTTTTTCAAAAATCAGTCACTTAATACTGAAATGAAAAAACCGGATTTAAAGTTTTTAATTTATTTTGAAATTAATTTTAATTTGAATAAATTTCAGACGAACTGATAAAAGTGTTAAAGTACAAGCCAACAATAAAGTGGAAGATGCAATTTGATGCCTACCTCAAAACTGTCCCGGCCTATTATGCTAATGTAGGTGGAAATATATTATGCTAATGTACTGGCTACTGGTTTATTTGTAGCACACTATGGGCGCTTGTTTATTTATAGTTATCCATCAATTTTTATGTAATCTTTTTACTAAATTTATCTTTAAAATTTAATAACTTTTAATGATATTTTATTTATTTGAATTTGTAAGCTCTTAGAAATGTTTTTTGAAGATTTATTTTATATAATTTAAAGAATTAAAAAGAAATTCATCTCCAACAACACACACATTACCATCGCAGCCGTTGAAACGTGCGTTCAGTCGGATGTCCCTGCCCCCAACACTGAACTTAATACCTGATCAGATGGACAACTGCCTCAGTTACTCCGTGGTACTTCACCTTAAGAAGATTAAGAACCAAGTTGGTTGATTGGTTGGTCGGTCGGTCGGTTGGTCAGTCGGTCGGTCGGTCGGTTGGTTGATTGGTCGGTCGGTCGGTTGGTTGATTGGTCGGTTCGTTGTGATTAGTCACCCATTATTTTCTCGATCAATTTTATATTTTATCTTTTACTAAATTCACATTTCGCATTTATCCCACATTTACTTACAAACATTCATTCATGTTACATTCACTATTAAACGTTCATATTTTAAAATCGCAACATCAAATTACCAGGTAAAGTTTAACAAACAAACAAACAAACACACACACACACACACTCATTTCTCCACAGGCAAAATTAGAATATGACAGATTAGTAGCATCAGTCGGCCAGTACCCAACCCACTGCCCCACCATTCGGGTCTTGCCCTCTAGGCCCCCAACCCCACGTCTCGCATCATCATTATCATCATCGACATCGTCGTCAGCTCAGCGCGGCGACTTCAAGCATTTGATTATTCAGTATTCTGCTGGAAATGCTTGCGGGCCGAAGCAGGGCTTGCTTTCATCCCACAATAATATGAATAACAATAATAATAATAATATGAATAACAATAATAATAATAATATGAATAATAATAATAATTTGGGAGTTGATAGTTTTGAAGTTTTCAATCTACACGCCATTCAAAAGATAGTTGATACGCACATATACACGTTGGTAGCACTTTTGGAAATAAAATTTCATTTGCAATTTTCCCATTCTCAACGTGTATTGATAATATATTTTTCAAAATGCAAAAAAATTTTCAAACTATTATTTTAATTGTCATAATTTATAGTCAATTATCATAATTTATAATAAATTATCATAATTTGTAATCAATTATCATAATTTATTCATTCTCACCCTCCCCCTAGAAACCCGTACGACATACACAGGTCCGACTTGCTGTTGAACCTTGCCAAGATGAGAATGAATCTTCTGAAGTCTCACAACCATGCCCTCTCAACTAAGTTTCAGAACATGGGTAGGTGTAGGCTGTCCTTTACATGCACTGTGTGTTTGCAGTTGATACCTCTGGAAAATATTTTCATTTTTTCTTGTTCTACGTTTCATATTCATTGCATGCTTACTTACTTTCAAGCGCGCATATGTTACGATGTATTTAAATTCAGTAAGTGGGGGTTTGTTTTTTCTCATTCTCTCATTAGTTTCTCACTTTCTTGTTCACCAAACTACTGCCTTCCTCCCTCTCTCTCCCTCTTTCTTTCACTTTCTTTTTGCCTTTCTCATATTTGTCTCTCTCTCTCTCTCTCTCTCTCTCTCTCTCTCTCTCTCTCACTCTCTCCTTGTTTCATATTTGTATTTGTCTTTCTCTTTCCTTCTTTATTTCTTTCTTGTCTTTTTCATATTTGTTTCTTATTTGCCTTTTCTATCTTTCTCTCTTTCATTCACTTTACTCATTCGTCACCCATAAATGACCACGACCGCCAGATGCCATCCACAACTCACCGATCCAAGAGATGGGCAACTACCAGGACTACCTGAAGCGACAACAGCCTCCCCTGAGAGAGATCGAGACCACGCCCACCAGGGTTCACACGTTTGGCAACCCCTTCAAAGTCAAGGTCGTTTGAGTATTATTATTATTATTATTATTATTTAAAGTTTCATTATCAATGTTGTTTTCGTAGGCTTGGTTAAATGTCGTTATTATTTTTTTTCCAGAACATGATGATAGATGAAGCCGATGAAGCGATGCCCGGGCAGTCGTCGTCGTCATCTTCGTCGTCATCCGCCCGGAAAAGGAGTTTATCCGAATCATCTACGTCATCGTCGACGTCATCATCGTCCTCTTTATCGAAAGCCAATAAAAAGCGAGGTATTTTTTGTTGCAGGATGATTGAGTGTGTTTGTTATCGCGACTGCAATTCTGACTGAAATAATGGTGACATTTGTATTTATTATTTTTATTTATCTATTTATTTATTTATTCTAATTTGATGTAACTATCAAAATATTTGTTCTATTCGCAGGACCTATACCAAGAAGTTACACCCTTCGAACTTTCCTCTCCTCACTATCATCATCACCACCGCCACCACCATCATCACCATCATTACCCTCTTCTCTGACACCTTGCCCGCCGACGCCCATTCCATCGTCTGACCCAGTCAAATCTGGGTCAGACGACGCAAATAGGTCAAATGACGTCACGATGACGTCAGACGAGAATGAGCCATGTATAGATTTGAAGGTTGGTAGCAGCGAGCAAACATCGCTCGCTGGGCAATCTTCAGATCATTCAAAATTACGTAAAAAGAATAAGAACAAAAACATCAACAACAACAAAAACAAAAACAACAGCAACAACAACAACAACAGCATGACGACTAATAACAAAAATGACCTCAGTATCATCAACAATAACGTCGAAAACATCAAAATGACAAACGGTATTGATGTTCTAGTCTCGCAGAATCACATCAACAACAACAGCAGCAACATCGCAGACGACATCAGCTTAGACAACAGCAGCAATGACGCCATCAATAATGGCGTCACCGACGATGACGATTTCGAAGTAGCCAGTAGCGTTCTAGAACTTTTAAATTCTAAAAAGTCCATTCTTAATGGCAATGTCGATACTGCAAGCTTCAACAGTGAAATTAAGAAACTCATCGTAACCGAAGTTAAGAAACCGGGGAAAAGTATTGTTATCATTCTTAATTTAGTTTAATTAATTTAAAATAATTTCAAAATAATAATATTTGTTCTTTATAACAAAAGTTATCAAAAAGTTATAATTCCTAACCAAAAAATTCGCAAAACCCTAACACCAGAATACACTATAATTTTCAACCTCCTTCGATGTCTGCGTGGGGACACCTCAGAAAAAAGATCACAAATAGAAAAGGTAATAAGCGAGGCCAGCCGATTTAAAAAGTATGCTCTGGTCAGGATTTTGGAAGAATATTGCAACAACAACAACCGTAATAACTACAGCAATAGTATTAGGAACAATTTTTTGTAGTAACACATGATGACAACAATTATAACTGTGTTGCTATGACTGTAGCCAAAAACTGTAAATAGTAAATTATTATTCTTTATTTTATTTGCATCTTCTGAGTGACAACAACAACATCAACAGCAGTAATGTAAAAAGCAACATCAGCAATGCCACCACCATCATCGTCGTCATCATCGTCATCAAGAAAGCAGCTACAACAGCAGCGGTAGCAGCAACCACAGCCGCAGCAACGTCAACAGCTGCAGCAGCAGCAACGTTAACAACAACAACAGCAGCAACAACAACAGCAATAATCAAACAACAACCACATCACAATATCAAAGATCAATATATCAAAAATACCAGATAGAAAATTTTTTCTACCATCTTTTCTCGCCATTTTTAATGTACCCACTCACAAGCGTTTATACATACGTGTACAAAAATATGTATACACACCTACTGTACATACTACTACAAATACAAAATAAACACACATACAGAGTACATACACATATTACATACATACATAACTTCTGTATAAATGTATGTACACATATACATGTGTGTACATAAGTCTTGGAGTACTCGCATCTTAATAGTGTACACGTCAATGGCTGTATTCTTCAACAGTACAATTTGTACTAGACACATACAACTACTGTACTCATATAAATGTGTGTGTATACTACATTCAAAGTAAGTGATATTTATTTTAATGAAATCTATTATTGTTAATTGTTGCTAATTAAAGTTAATTTATTCATAAATTAATTAACTTATTCATAAATTAATTTATTATTTATAAATTTGTTAATAACTTATTCATAAATTTATAACTTTACCAATAAATTTTTTCATAATTCATTTCTTCTCACTGGTTCCAGGTTTTAGAAAAAGCAGTTGTAAATGTAGTTCTGCTACTAGTCAGAGTCACAGCCAATCAGATCAGTTCATTCATTCGTTTGTTTTTTCATTCGTTCTCCCATTCATTCATGCATTCATTCATTCAATCATTCATTCAATCATTTCGGTCTTTCGGAAAAAAAACTAATAGCGACAGTTGCCTTTGTAGTTGTCGATATTGTCGTGGTGGTGCTAATATTTAATATTGTTGTAGTCGTTGCTGTCTCGATGTAGTAGCCTCAACATTGTTGTTGTTGCTCCTTTTTTTATACTACGTCATCGTCACGTGATTCATTTAAATCTCATCCTACGCTCTCTTTTAAATCTCTCTCATTTCTTCTTATTATTATTATTATTATTTAGAGTTTCACTCCTTACTTCTGCGATCTAAACGCCACTAGACATCTGTAGCTATCATTATTCATCGCTATTTTTTTCATCTTTATCATCATTTTACTATTTTTTTTGGTTATCGTCATCATCGTCGTCGTCATCATCATGGTAATGACGATGTTGATTATTACCATGGTAACTTCATTAGTGATTATGATTATGATGACGACGGTTACGCTGATGGTATTAGTGGTGATTAAGATAATGATAATATCCTAGATGATGACGATGATGATGGCTGAAATGAGGTGATGATGACAAAGATTATGCTGATGTGCGTATTAATGTGATTTTTATAAAACTGAATAAACTCTACTATATAACTTAAAAAAGTATCCACTACGTGTAAATTAATGTATGCATTGGAAACGTAATGTATTATAGCCATTGACTGAAAAATAATTAGTCTAAAAAACAACTAATTGGTCTAATTATAGATCAATTGGTCTAATTATTGACCAATTGGTCTAATTAACGATTAATTAATTAGATTAACTTTAGATTTTATTCCCAAAAGTTGAGGCATTTCTTTGTCGTTTTGTTTTTATGTTTGGAAATTTTTCTTTCATTTCCTTATACATTTTTTTATTACTTTTTATTTATTAATTCGTTCTATAAATTATATACAAGGGAAAGTGAATAATAAATAAATCAATTAATTAATTAATTAATTAATATTAAAAATTTGTAAAAATGAAAATAAATTTGATTTTAGTGTTTGTTCATTGATTTGCATGAATGCGTGTGCGTTTGTGTGTGTGTTTGTGTAAGTAGCTATACGTGTGTGTGTGTGTGTGTGTGTGTGTGTGTGTGTGTGTGTGTGTGTGTGTGTGTGTGTGTGTGTGTGTGTGTGTGTGTGTGTGTGTGTGGGAGTGAGAAGAGGGGTTTTGGAGGGGTGCCAGCAGAAGGCTACAAATGATTGAAAAGCAGAAAATGGTACCAATTAGCAAAAGTAAAGAATTGTGACTGACAAATTTGAAGATTGTACGATGAAAGTTGTAATTAAAACAAAACTAATTAGTGATTGATTGGTTGGTTGGTTGGTTGACTGTTTGGTTGATTGATTGGTTAGTTATTGGTTGATCGATTGACACATTCCATATATCGTGTTTTACACACAGTCCATACAATCTATCCATCCATCAGTCATATACATCGTTTGAGTACGCGTTTAAAAGATTGGAGAAAAAAATACATGAATGAATGAAGAATGAAAGGAAGAAAATGAATTAACGGATGATTGGAAGAAAGAAAAAATGGATGAATGAACGTCGTTATGATCATCTGTTCTTTATAAATTCTTCCCAACAGTTTGAATGACAGATGGTTTTGTTAGGCAGGTTAATAGGTACGCATGTATAGGGTATGTAAAAAAAAATCATTTTACATATTTGCACTATATTTTATTTCTTATTAAATATTGCATACTTTTATTATTTCATATTTTATGAGTTTGTTACAAATTTATCAGACACAACATTATATATGTGTGTGTGTGTGTGTCTTTTTTACTGTTGTTTGTTGGTGCTAATATTATAAAGATAGCTATAATGTAATATAAATTTTTATTACAACTCATATTGAATACTGTCTATTATTGCTTACATTTAACTGTACATTTCTGTTTATTGCAGGTTTGATCAGAAAGGCAGTTGGACCCTGCAACAAATATGGTATATTTACGATATAATAACCATATTAATAATTCATGATGACGTCATATGAAAAATAAATGATTATAAATATTAAAGATAAAATTTATTTATCTAGCGCCATTTTTCTTTATCTAAGATTGTAGGACTGAAAAATTTCCAATGTTAAGTTTACTTGATTTGCAAAACACGACCCTTAAAGTTTAATATATTATTAATAAAATTATAACATATTTATTAATTAATATCATTATAACAGTATATAATATATTAACATAACATATTTGTAATATTTCATAATTTTCATTGCAGGTATGCTTTCGCAATTAACTAAACCCTTGTATACAATAGTAATGTTAGTATAATAGATAACAATCATTTATAAATCATACACATATTAACATATAAGTGTGTGTGTGTATGTGTCACTTTAATTGAATGCTTAATAAGCCGTAGCATTTATAAGAATAGTTTTTCAATCACAAAAGCTGTAGGGAATAGTAGTAGATCAGTCTGTCTTTTAAGCATTATTAGTGATGTGAATTGGTTGATTAAAAGAAAACCACAAGTTAATCTTAATATAATAACCAAAAATATAATAAAGGTATAATATATACATTCTTATTCATAGAATTTTATACATATGCGAACCCAAAGCAATATAGATATATATGTGTATAAATATATATGCAGTAGTTTAGGAAATATCAACCGAAATTCTAGCCGAATTACTGCATAAAATTATGGTCTTTTACCAGCATTTGCCAAAGAACCTACGACCAACTGAAGAAACTTAACAAGCGAAAAAAGAACTTTAGTAACGAATGCTCCATCTCTCTCGTAAGTTAATAGCGAGGCAACGCTAGAAATTCAGTAGATTTCATAAATTACTTCATTAATTTTTGTCTTTTATATAGTGAATGAGACATTTATTCATTCATAATTTTTACAATATTCTATAAATTCTACCGAATGTTTGGCGTTAATATGTTTGTAGTTCGTTAACGAACATTCGGTAGAATTTATAGAATATTGTAAAAATTATGGTCTATTACCAACATTCATTCATAATTATAACCATCACGTTTAATACATTAATCCGTTTACAATTACTATCAGTAATTATTGTAAAGTCCAGATCGTAATCATCGTACTTCAAAGTTCTCATCAAAGGAAACTAGATACAACCATGTAGGCTTTGGATGAAATTTAAATCAGAAGGTAATATAATAGATATATAACAATTGAACTTTTTACTAATATTAGTGTACAAACATACACATACGCACATACATATGCAAACACACACACGTACATACATAAACACGTATACATACAATACAAACATAACAGAGTTTAAAAAATAAGTGATAACTTTAAATTAAGACATACATACACACAAAATCACACATATACATACATACACAAAAATACATTTAAAAAAGTCACTTGGAATATCAAAATTTGGTGGTGGATGGAAAACAAAATGCGCGATAAACTACACACACTCACGTAAACTGGAAAAAACGAATGGGATATAGTTCAGTTAACAACATAGAATTCACGATTAAAATTTTTACGTCATACTAAAAATTGTAGACATCATTGGTTTAAAAGTTAAAATTAACTAGAATTGACACATGATTTCGTTAAAATATAAAAGTAATTAGTTGAAATTCATTATTTAATTAACTAAATTAATAAATACATTATCAAATTCTTATTATAAAATACTCGATAGAATGCTTAATTGTTATATATTACATATAAATTCTTAATAAAACGTTGAAGATATCTTACATGATATACAAATTGTCACAGATATATATATATATATATATATATATATATATATATATACACACACAAACAAAGGATGACGCATTACAATTATTATGAAATTTGTCTTAAATAAATATAATATAAATCGTGGTAGACATAATTATTTAATCATAGCTTAACAGTATTCACAACTTTTTAATATGAAAACAAGCCGTATATATGTATGTATGTACGTGTGTGTATGTGTGTTTGAGAAAGAGAAAATTTTCAAGCATTCCTAACAATAGTTTCATCTGAAAGTTTGCTAAACCAATTAGGAGGCAGCTTGTTGATCAGTGATTTCCACATTTTTTTGAACAGTTCTTCATCACTCACTTGACCGATGAATATTTCAATTTCTTTGTTTTCAAGGTATTGTTCTTTAAGTATATTTACATCGGAGTTGAAACTACTGTGACAGTTGACGTAATCGACGGGCTCCTTTAATTTAGGCACTAATACTCCAGTCGTGTAAACATCTTCAATCCAGAACGACTCGGTCTTTTGTGAAACTTCATAAAGTTCTTTGGCTAATGAGGCACTGAAGCAATAACCTACACCTGCACAGTACTGGGGGAAGAATTTCTGGCCTGGAAAATCCTCCTCCTTGACGCAGTAACCCCCACATTTTTGGGGATCCCTCAGAATGGGCATCGTGTTTTCTCCCCACAGGGGGCAGAGTATAGTTCTGTTGTTTCCAAATATAGTCTCCATCATTGAGATCATACCAAAAACATTTATAAATGCATTGTCGTTTGCTTTTAAGGCAAATTTGGCTTCTTGGCAGTGTTCACTAATCCATTTCAACCCAAGCACTGATTTCTTTGTGTCAGATTTATCTTTCTCTTCGAAATCACCCTGCACAATGTCTTTGTGGATGTTGAATTCTTCATCTAACTGTTTCTTAATGGCATCATCAGAAGGCGTACCGACGAGAAAGATGATTCTTGTTAAATTATTTGCAAACAACACAGGACTTCCCCATGTACTTCGTATAAGATCTCGTTGTTTCTTGTTGCTGGCCGAACTGACTACATAGAGAATCCACTTCAAATGTTTGTTATTCTTACAAATGGCTTCATTGTGTCGTACGATATGTACCACAGGAATCTCGCCACTGCTTGACTTCTTACTGCCAATCGATTCATCACCACCCACTCCTCTTCTCTTCCATAACCTCGCTAGATCCCGCGATTCGAATGATGCCACGATTTGAACGTTGCCGTCTGGATCGGCTTTACCTAATTTTAATACGGCCGGAATGGAATCTAGGTCGTCAATCTCTGTTATTCTACCTTTCTCTTTCTTGTCACAGGAACATGAAAAATGTTGTACAGTAGTTATCAGAGCGTAAATTATAACGATGGCGAAAAGTACTTGTAACGAAAACCTTAAATATCTTTTATTTATCATAATTATTGCCTAATATAAATATAAATCATGATCAAAATACTCTCACTAAAATTTGGTTTTACCCATGAAAACTTTGTAAATTTAAAAGTGAATCGATGTGAAAAGTGATATGGAGATCCGCATGACTGAGTTATCGAATTCAATATTTCGTGGCAGGTGCGAGATTAACCCCAACCGATAATTTTTTCAATTTCAACGTTTCATCCAACCTTTAATTTAGACTAAACTTCCTATTTTAGATATTTAAAACCCCAAGAGATATACAGAACGATGCATGGAGTGCATCAACCTACCAGCAATTCATCAGTTGTCAACAAATGTTTTCTCCATACAGCTCTCTTTCCATATGGAATGGTTTGCCTGCCATCATTTGTCAACAACCAACCACCAAACTTTTTAGGAAACTATTAAAGAACTTTTTGTCTATCCGGGCCTACGGAAACGTCATTCTTTACACAAGCACCCCCGAATAATAATAATAATGATAATTTCTATTTTCAAAACTTTCGTCCTACACAAAAGAAGGATAATATTCGTAAAATAAGTTTTTTACTTAGTCATTGTATAATATTCAACAAAATAAAACAATTTATTGATAATATAATGGTTTTAAAGCAGGAAATATAACATATATATATATATGTGTATATATATATATATATATATGTATTTCTTTAACTGGTCCCTGAGAAATGCAAAATAAAGTACAGTAAATAAATGATATTGCGAAGTTGATGATGATGAGGAAATGAAATGTTACAGGAATTAACGAGATGAAATAAAATGATGAACTGACTGAACATGTGAGAGAAAAAATGGAGAACATAAAAAAATATATTACTAACGACTGCAAATCAATGACTGAGTATGTGAATATAAGATATATAAAGGGAAAGGAATACGCTATTAAGAGAACAAAGGAATAAGAGAGGAAGAGATAGAAAAGGAGAGAGAAAGAGAGAGAGAGAGAGATGAAACATTTATAAATTTGCTTTACTAATGACTGAAAATAAATGACTAAATACACAATGTAAAATTTAGAACAAAATCTTAAAAAATTATAGATCTTTAATTGACTTGAAAACTCATTCATTAACGTACGGGAAAAGTTTTCGATAGCTGAGGCAGAATAATGAATTAAATAAACAGCAATAAGAAATTTTGTTCCTCTTACATCATTTTCTTCATCTTCACCATCATAGTAGTCACCGACTCACTACATCAGTCATCGTCATCATATATTCATCATGGTTTTTCATCATCTTCATCTCCAATCCTCTTATATATAAGTAGGAAAGAGAATTTTAACAGCAGAGCTGACAGTGAACACTGGATAAATCTTAGATCCAGCCACCAAATCCCTAATAACTTTTCGTCCCACCAATGACGTCATCTTCTGGCCGTCAGAACCGGAAGTGGAAGACGTTGTCAACTTATAGGTCAATATGGCAATATTGGGAGAGTCTATTTTAAGTGAAAGGGTCAAACTAATAGGCAGAGAGTGCAGTCTACTGATGAATGTTCTTGATTCTAAGTTTTCGTAAATGGGCTCTGTGTTATTATTGTTGTCATTATTATTATTGTTTTTGTTGTTGTTGTTGTCTAAACGAATGCTTAGGCAGTTGTTGTGTTTGCTTTCAGATCTAACGTAGCTGATATTTTTGCAGCCTTTGTTGATCTGATCCCCCCTTGAACAGAAATAAATGGACCCTTCTGAGCATATAATACCCTTTGAAAAATTGGAAATCCCAACAATGTCCTTGATGGAAAGTGGTTCATCTGAAATTCCTGCCCCAAATAGGTAGGGGCATTCAAGGAATGAAGAATTAGGATTTTGAAAATTTTTATTACTATCTACATTAGCAGACGACGTCATTAGTTTTGTTTGTTGCTGGTGTTTGTTGTTGATAGAACCATCACTGCGGCTGGCCGTGATGTGTTGTTGTTGGTGTCGTTCGATTGTGATCGTCCAGCTGCACTGACGTATAGGTTGGCCTGTGTAGGTTGTTGTGGCTGTAGGGTCATCTGTCGACCAAGTTGTTAAGCAACGAGTGTGCTGTTGCTGCTGCTGGTGTAGTTGTTTGAATAATTTAAGCATTTGTTGTTGCGTTTGCTGTTGCTGTACTACTGGTTGTTGTTGATGAAGTTTTAGTTGCAAGTTTGTATCAGCTATTGTTGTGGGTTTTGTTGTCTGATCTTTGATGCTGTTTACTTGCTGTCCAGTTGTTGTTGTTGTTGCTGTTGTTGTCAATGTTGATGTTGTTGTCGGGATGTGAGGAACAATGATGTCACCTGCTTTCAGGCCTTCATCTGAATGTGAACAAGACAAATTTTAAATTCATCTTTCATCATCATTAAATCACCATTATCACATCACCACCATTATAATCAATAATGACGCAATTACGCCCTCCTCCACCATCACCATCATCGACATCATCATCTTCTTCCTCTTCATCCTCACCATCATCATCAACATCACCTGAAAACCAAGTCAGCAGTCTATCAATCCTTCTCCTGAATTGTTGAGAACTTGAGAGGAAACCCATCCTATATGACTTATCCCTCAGCAATGAATCACTCCTCTTGCATAGCAAACTGATACTGACGACAAATTTTACAAATTTTAATAATAAAATCAATAAAAATAAACTAATAATAACGACAATTGGCACAATAGAACGAGATAAAAAAACTATTAACTAACTCTTTTTTGCACTTCTTGAACCGGCTGACCACAGGTCTTAACTCTGAGATCCTACTCAAAAGTTCATGATTATCAATGCTATTATTATCTATACTATTATTATTCATATTATTATTATTCATATTATTATTATTCATATTATTATTATTCATATTATCATTGTTGTCGTCGTTGAGTCTGATAGCTATTTTATCATCACTGGTAGGTAGGTTTTTCAAATCACTGATATTTGTGTAAATATTATAAGTGATATGACTGTTCAACTTATATTTGTTAACCTTACCCTTAACTAAATTATAAATATTATTATTATTATTATTACTATTATTATTGCTATTATTATTATTATTATTATCATCATCGGTGTACTTTTTCAAGAAGGCATTGAGTATAACGTCGTTAATTTCATTATCTTTTGCTGGCCTTTGACCATCTCCATCCTCTTCATCATCATCATCGTCGTCGTCTTCTTCATCATCATCACCATCATTAGCAACATCGTTGTCATCTTTATAAACCTTATTATTATTGTTGTTGTTGTTTTTATTGTTGTTACTGCTACTGAAGACTTGATGATTTTCGTAATAGACGTCTTCTTCTATGTCATTTGTTGTATCATTTTCAGCCTTACAACCATAACCCCTATTATTATTATTATTATTATTTTTGTTGTTGTTGTTGTTGTTGTTGTTGTTGTTGTTGTTACTGCTACCCTCAGTACAATTGTAATCATTACCATCATCATCGTTATAATCTTCAACCCATTTTATCAAATCGTCATCATCATCATTCTTTACAATCCTTTTAACATCATCATCATCATCATCATCATTATTATTACATCTAACACCACTCACGCAATAAATATCTTTCAAAATATTATAATTGATGACGTCATCATCTCTACCATCACAATCATCATCGCCATTGTTATTACTATTACTGTTATTAGCATTATTACTACAAGCAGTAGCAGTAGCAGTAATATCATGATTAAAGTCACAAGTTTTGTTAACAATAGTAACATTACTACCAATCCTACCATTACAAATACTATTGCTACTATTATTATTGCTACTAAAACCATCGTATTTGCTAGAACATCTGGTACCATTACTACTACTACTACTAAAGCGTAGAAGTTTATCTAAAGTTCCCAGCATGCCTCTCACAACTTCTTCACATCTCTCCGCCTCTCTCTTTTGCTGATCTATCCTCTTTATTATTCTCCCTCTGGACTGGTTCATTCTTTTCATCAGAAGCGCCTTCTCTTCTTCTAATGCCTCAGTGAGATCTGTTAGGAGTCTATGAAATTGCTCTTCCACGTTTTCCAGAGCTTGTTGGTGGAGTGTCTGTGATGTGGTGTGTGTATGTTTGTGTGTGCGTGTTATGTGAGTGTGTGGTGCGTTCGTCAACACTTTTCAGGGATTGTTTGTAGAGTTTCCGATGGTAAATGTGTGTGTGTGTGTGTGTGTGTGTGTGTACGTGCATGCAGTGCATGTCTATTAAGCATTTGTATGTATGTTTGTATCATTATGAATAACAACAACACACGTTTAGACGACATTTTCCCCGAGATCGGGGGTTGCCATTTGGCTACCTATGATGAAACCGAAATACCCATCGACGCCATTCACATCTGTCACTCGCCTCAGTAGTAATGTATCATTATGAATAAATAAATAAATATATAAATATGATAGTAATAATATCACAAACAGACATAATAATAACGACAAATACTGAGAATTACCTGAATTTCAGATGCCAATGCTTTTAATTTGTTCTCTTTATCAATCAATGATCTCAGGGCTGATGAACAATCTACCTGAGTTTCTAGGGCTGAATTCTGTATGTATGTGTGTGTGTGTACGTATGTATGTGTGTATGTATATATGTGTGTATGTTTGTATGAGTGTGTATGTATGTATGATTGTTTGTATGTGGGTATGTATGTGTGCGTGCGAGTGTATGTATGTGTGCGCGTGTTTGTATACACGAAGGTATTGAAATTATAAATATAAGCACACACACACATATGATGTACATTATGAAATTTCAACCCATTTTATCAGCTCATTTATCATCTATAAAAGATTATATTTGTTAACTGTGCATACCAGCAAACAAAAAAAACACAAACATACATGTATACATACATACAGACATACATACATAGACACATACATACAAACAAACAATCTCACACATACGCAGAATCTAATATACAAGGACCTACTCAAACATGCCACATAAATATTTTCCATAAGAATTCAAGCAGATAAGAGTCAATGAAAGATGAATGTTTACACATGTATATATGTATGTGTGTGTGTTGTGTGTGTAGTGTGTGTGTTTGTGTGTGCGTGCGTTTATATGTATGTATGTATGTTACCAATAATTGAATAATTTCGTTTCTAGACATATTATCAGTGTGAATATTTTCAAAGGAGCATCTTTTCATAACACGTGAGGCATCTATAAAAATGTCTGACGCTGACGTATATACATACAAACGCAAGTGCATACAAACATACATATATACATCCATACACACATACATAATCCACACATACAAACATACACACACACATACAAACATACACACAAACATACACACATACAATCATACACACACTATATATATATATATATATATATATATATATATATATATATATAACATACAAACACACACATATACAAACATACATACATACACACAAAACAGAGATGCATGTTTGTTGATTGATATTCATCAAGCATTATTAACCTTGCTGACAAATTTTTAAACACAGGAAATTTTTTAATATTTAAAAAAAAACACAAAAATTATCAAATGATTTAGTTAAAAAAATATTTTATCATCACTATATAAATCATATATTTATGCATCAAATACATATATACATTTATATAATTAGTACTATTATTGAAGGAAATATGGATTTTTTAAAAATAAATTATAAGGAATGGTGATCTCACTATGCTTAATAAAACAATACATAATATACAATACATAATACAGGTACATTTGAAACTCAGGCATACATAGAAATGCACGGCAGCATACGCCAAGCAGACATACAAACAAACATTGAAATTGCCATATTTTGTATGTATGTATGTGTGTTTGTATATGTGTGTGTGTGTGTGTGTGTGTGTGTGTGTGTGCATGTGTGTGTAGGTATGTATGTATGTATGTTTGTGTGTATTTATGTATGTATGTTGTATGTATGTATGTTTGTGTGTATTTATGTATGTAGGTAGATCAGGTAAACAAGGAATGGCTTATTTTGACAGCCTCAAGCGATGAAAATGTCAATAAAAGATGCATTAAATGGTTGTTTCTAAACAGTTAGTACAATTAACATACATACATGCATTCATACATACACACACATACATAATCAATCAATCAACCAATCAATTTATCAACCAACCAACCAACCACCTGCAAATGAATAATAAATGTAATAAAAATATGTAATAAATGAAGTCTGGTTTAGGAATAAACTCTATGGCATTTTAAACGATTTTAAGCATGTGTATGTATGAGTGTGTCTGCGTATATATGTTTGTGTACAGCTGTGTGTGCATGTGCATGTGTGTGTGTGTGTGTACGTGTTCATCATCTGCAAATGGTTAAGATAAAAAAAATAGGTTACAGAATAAAACATTAAAATTAAACTAAATTATTAAAATTAAACTACCTTAATTGCATTACAAGCCGTTTCGATGGTCAGCATTTTGTGGCCGGCATGTCGACCTTCACCTTCACAGACACAAATATGGCAGACGAGGACTTTACAGCGATCGCAAAACATCGTCAGTGATTCATTTTTGTGGTCCGTGCACTTTCGGACTATCATTGGAGGTGCACATGGAATTGTTGCTGCTGTCGTTGCTAGACATTGTTTAGTCTGCACAGCCAGTGCTGTTAGTGTTTGTTGCTTAGTCATAGATATTGCAGTCTGGTGTTCAAATGATGTTGTTGTTGTAGCTGCTGGCGGTGGTGGTGGTAGCAGTAGCAGGGATGTTTGCTTCTGATGAGGTAGAAAAACTGTTGGGATTTTATGTTGCTGTCTGGAAAATGCTGTTGTAGATGTTGTCTTCTGCAGTTGATACCGCACCTGGGAGTATGACGTGACTGCTATTGTTGATGTGGTTGATGTTGTTGTTGTTGTTGATGTTGTTGTAAGGTGAGATGTTTTTGCTGATCCGGCTGCTGAGATTTGACGATGCTGGGGTGTGTATCTTGTTGTTTGTTTCATCATGTGCCTTTGTGGTTGTTGCTGAGAAATAGTTAAAAGGGGTGGTGCTGCAGTTGTTGTAGTCGATTTTGATATCAATGCTGCTGTTGATGTGTTTGTTGGCTTACAATTATTTGAACCTATGTTTAGTCTGTCACAATCAGCTTCTACATTATTATTATTATTATTATTAATACTATTATTATTATTGTTGTTGTTGTTGTTGATGATGTTGGTGAGAGAAGACACATGAAGAGAATGCCTATGATGATGGTGATGATTCTTGCTGTGATGATGATGATGTTGTTTCACGTGATTGGTTGTTGTCGTTGTTGTTGGCTCCAATTTGAGAGATTTTATTGGATGATGAGAGAGAGCTCCTCTGCTTGGATGGTACTGTGTTGAAGAGGGTGTTGGAAAAAATAAAGTTTCATTCAAGTTAAAAAAAGTGCACACACACAAGCATACACACACACACATATATATATATATATATATATATACACACACACGCTCACACTCATGCTCACACACTCATCAGATCACATGAACAACAACCTTATTGAGACATGGAGAGCAATACACAACGTTGCACTGTCTGCAGAACCAAATAGATCTATTAGGAATGGTCCCAGGTTCACAAAGATCACATAAACCAGACTGTTGCCTAACCATCACATCGGCTGATGGTACAACTAATGGCGAACTTTTACTAATGCCCGAAGCAGGAATGGCTGTTATTAAATCTGGATCTAAAAATATGACAGACCTTCTTTTCAAGTCATTGTTAGATTTTCCTTTAATAAAACTGTTGATAACGTTCTCTAGATTGATATTTTTGGGCAATGATGATAGGGAATCTTGTGATGATAGTTTGATTGGACAACGACAAATGGGACACTGTGCTGTGTTATTTAAATAAAAAAAATATGTTTACTAAAAAAATAAAAGTAAAAATTTGTCCTTAATCTTTAATTTGATTTAGTGGACAATTCATCTATTTTTTAACTAAATGAAACAACTGTCATTCATGGTGCTACATACAAAAATACTTTCAAACAGCACAATTTCAAAAAAAAATACCCTTTATTGCAGATTTCTCACATTTCCCTAACAAATCTTTCAAACATTTTCGGCAGAGGCTGTGCGAGCAAGGCAGTATTCTAGGCTCTTTAAATAAATCCAGACAGACTGGACACGTTAAATCTTCCTCGATTAATTGATAATTAAAAGACATTTTGTATTCCGTCACGAAATTTTAAAAAAATGAAACAAATCCATCTCAATGCTCGAAACAGTGAACTGAAAGTGAAGTTAGCCTGTATATTTTTAATTTAATGATGATGAGCTGAACATGAAGTCAACATACCCTTATTTAAATACGTTTTGCTTACTAATTTTTTTAATTTAATTAATTTTTTAAAATAATTTAAAATTATTTTTTAATTTTCTATAAATTAATATTAAAAAACAATATTTTAAAGAGAATTTTTTTCCGTTGAAATGTTAGCTGTGAACATTTTCATATTTCTACACGTTTGAAGCTAAATTAACATTTAAACTGATTATTAACAAGTTGTCATGAATTCCAGTTTATTTGAATTTTTTGTCCTCTTGGGCAAATTAAAAGTTAAATTTTTCATTTAACTTTATACATGATCGTTATTAGCATTAAGATTTAATTTTAATTCTTATTTCATTTATTTTTCGCTCGTAGACTACCAGAAGAACTGGATGGGTTCGATCCGGTGTAAACGATCCAGAAAGCATTGCCGATCACATGTACAGGATGGGGATGTTATCCATGATCATCGATCCGTCGTCCGGACTTGACAAAGACAAGTTTTTATTTTTATAATTATGTAGAAACTGTTGTTGCTTTATTTTATTGTCTTTAGGTAGTTTAAATTCAGTAATAGTTGAAATAGAAATATAAAATGATCAATAGAAATTATATAATATATTATATAATAATTATAATGTTTAAAATTAAAATGCTAATATTCAATTTTTATATTTTAATAGAAAAAATCTTTTAATTTTTTCATTAGAGTTTTATTTCAGGTTTTCTTACCAAGTTTGAGTGCCAAAAAATTTGTTAATTATGTAATTAGTTCTAATGCGACTTGATAAATAATTTCTAAATATAATATTTAAAAAGGTGTGTCAAGTTGTCTTTGGTTCATGATTTGGCAGAGAGCATTGTGGGAGACATAACACCCAACTGTGGAGTCAGCATTGGAAACAAATATTTAATGGAAAAAGTATTTCCTTTCATGTATTCAAAGGAATTTATACAATTTATTATATGTCCTTGATGAATTTTGAATAATCTCAACCCAAAATTTGTTAATAAATCTTCAAGAGTGCTATGGCACACATAAAGACTCTTCTACCACCAAAAATATCTGATGAAATTATGGATTTATGGCAGGTTTATTTAGCAACTACATTAATTGTTAACTACTACTACTGAGATTGTATTTCATTCATTCCATCGTCAGGAATATGAGGATCAGAAAACAGCAGAAGCAAAATTTGTTAAGGACTTGGATAAGTTTGACATGATCTTTCAAGCATTTGAATATGAAAAATGTCAATCTAATTTGAGTTTACAGTGCTTTTTTGATTCTACAAAAGGTGTCTTTTAAATTTTCTTCCGGTTATTTATTTTGAAAAACATTAAAAATGATTTTATTTCAGATGTGTTTGAAACATCTCAGGTAAAGTCTTGGGCCAAATGCCTAAATGAAATAAGAAACTCTCCTAATAATGTATTTGATACATTCAATGAAAGAATTGACAAATGTAAAAAGACAATCTTAGATTCCATTAAATTGACTGAAAAAAATAACAGTAATGTAAACTAAAGTAGTTCAATTATATTATTGAATATTATATTATTATTTGTTCTTAACTTTTTCCTTTTTATTTTTAACGCGTTTTTTCGTTTTAATTTTGTCATTTTTTGTTTCGTTACCCTTGCTGTCAATTATTTTACTTTTACTTTTCGTCATCAAATTTTGCGTCAATTCTCTGGTAGTTCCAAACAAACCAACATCTTTCGGTAGTATTGGTTTGCTGGTAGATGTGATTTTCAAAAAGTCTTTGATGTTTTTGCTTTCCTGAATCATCTGTCCGCTTTGTTTCGTGTTATTGCGTTCGAATTGTTTCATGTTATCAGATATTGAGCAGATACAACCGTGATTCAAGCATCGATTTCGTCTTTCCAGCCCGTCATTTTCAGACTCGGAACTCAGATCAAAATTTGTCTGTTGATACTTCGGTCGATTTTTCGGAGCGTTCAATGTTTCGTTCTTGTTCTCGTTTCCTCTTGAACTGCTCGAACGTGAACTCTCTTCGGATTGTTGATGCACCATTCGTTTAACTTCAATTCTTTCAGACAACTTCCTTTCTTTCAAAATCTTTCTACTGCATCTTTCAACGCTGCCAGTTTTTTCAACTTCGCTTATGGTAAAATTTCTTTCGAGAACTAAATTTTTCAATTCCCTACCGGATGAAGGGATGTCCAAACTTTTAGGGAATGCCTCTTTTCTACGCGTGGCAAACTGTTTTTGCCTGCTCTTGACTGGTTCAACGTTTCCCGAACTTTTAGCTGGTTTAGCACTTGTCACAGCTTGCTCGTCGTTGTTTTTATTAGCTTCACCGACGACTTGCGAATATTTAAAGAATAAATTCTGATAGTTCTTGGAAACATTTTCTATGTAATTTTTTAACTGTTTGTTTTCGTTCTTTAATTTTTCTATTTTCAGCTGAAGACTCATGTTGGCGCTGTCGCATATCGTTGAACGTCTGCCGTAACGATTGTTGTTGGATTTGTTTGCGTCTGTCGCGATGTTCGGTGTTGCAGGTTTTTGTGTTATCTTGCCGTCCGGTCCTTCAATTGAGATCGTCACATCCGTTACGTTTTCAGGCTCATCTTGATTTTCTTTTGATGTGCTGTTATTACCTATGAATCAATCAATCAATTAGTTTGTAAAGTGCTATTTCCGCGATGTTCAACAGCGCCCCTCAGTGAATTTAGCAGAAAGATGGATCTTGAGATGAACTTCGTAAGTGATAGAGGAGTAGTCAGAAAAGACTGAGGCAGAGAGTTTCAGAGGAAAGGTTCAGAAAGAGTGTTTAACACGAGATAAGAAGAAGAACAAAAAGACGATCGTAAACCGGGGCGTTTGGGTTCAATCGATTCACTCTACAGTAATTTTATTACACAAAATTTCTTATGCATGAGTAATAATACTGTGAACACGTAATTAATTTACTCACTGTTTCTGGATTTAATACGCTGGTGTGATACAGTCTGAGATATCGTCTTCCACATTTTATAGATAGCTTTCAAACGAAAACTTCTTAAATTTGGTATCTCTTCTAAAGAACCTGAAAACATCATTTCATCTTATTAATAAATCGATAATTATAAAACACAAATTTAAGATATCAACGGAACATGATTTTTAAAAAATTAAAAAAGTTATCAAAAATTCTTGACAAGAGCTTCCGAACGTACAAGAAACGAGAGTTATGATGAAAAATATCAAATGATTTAGGATCATGTGTATAGGCTATAACATTCCGCACTGAATTTATTGTCAGATGAAAAGTTGGAAAAATGATTTGGAAAGATTTAAGTGTTGAAATGTGGAGAGGTCAATATTTTTGACCGTCTAAAAATTACATTACACACAATTACAGAATTACTGTTTTAAGAAACGTCAAACACAAACCCAAATATCCATTCTCCGACTTGTACTTTTCAATGAGATCGTTATCAGTTAGGAAAGTTTTCATTTCTTCGTGCAGTCTCGAGATGAACGAATGAGCCTCCAAATTTGTGTTTCTCTCTTGGTCCACCATCTTGAGACTATCTTGAACCTTCTTCTTCCATCCACATCTTTCGATGGTCAGCTTGCTAGTTAACCAGTTCTGTAGCAGGTTGCGGTCAGATTCTGATAACTTGTCGCAGAAAATTCTTTGAAGAAGTTGTTCCGATTGTGTTGACAGATCACTTTCCATGAGAAGCAGTAAGGTCTTTTATCTTATTTGCTCAATAACTGTCCGTATTTTATTATTATGTATTATCAATTAGTTGGCAAACCAAGCGATATTAAACCTGATAAACAATAATCTTCACAGTATTTTGGAAAATTTATCAACAAATTTTAAAATAAAGCACTACAGAAGAAAACATATCAAAATTATCATCAAAGTCATTACAATCACCAAGTGTTTGACGCTTCACATACAATAATTACATTCCCACACACACATCACAACAAATAGATGCGCGTATAAATTATATTAGATACATCCATCGATAATTAATAGCACATTCCTATATATAGAATTATCATTAAGGTAAACGTTTCATCTGGAACGGTCAGATGGATCCAACCCTGAAGAATGATGTTAGTGCAAATAATAATGCTTCTAAAAATCAATAAATAACATATACGTTTACAAAAACGTGTACAAAGGCATCCGCAGAGGTATACATACATAGGTACATCCGAAAAAACGAACACTCATCAGGCGCACATGCTAAAGTAAGCGTATCTCAAAGTTCATACATAATTAATGGACAGACAAACGAACCACGCCTTTTAGATACATTCGAATGGAAACTTACACATGGAATGATCGGCAGGCAATTATTTACAAATATACAATCATATACACAACACCCAACCTACACACAATGCATATACAGTATACACGCGGGTCCAGGTGGTACAGCTGCTTCAGGGCTAGTTTTTTTTTGCCAACAAAATTCTTTAAAAAATACATACAGTCAGTGTTGAGCAGAAGTTGAATTTACACGATTTAAGAGCATTATTTAATCATTTATTGTTACTTTTTGTTTTAACTTGAAAACAATTTTACGAACTTTATTTTGGTTTTTATTTCAAATAAGACTTGGCGTGATTTTTATTAATTTGATGATTTATAAACTGACAATAATAATTATGAAATTGATAATAACAAAACTGATAATCAAAATCTAGTAGCCAGCCAGAGAGTTCCAAAGGCATCTGTTGTTAACGTCAATTTAGCTTGATTGGCATTATCGTTAAAACTGTATGTGGGACTGTGTAATGTATTACCTACCCTAAATAAACTTTTTATTGGTTTGAATGATAAAAACGATAAGAATGCAAGAACCAAATTAGCGTGTACTCAATGAACAAATTTTATTGACAGAAAATCACCGATAATATAAAAAATATAAAAATAAATAAATTTTATCATGAAAAAAAATTGCAAAAAATATATATACACACACACAGACATTCCCACACACACATACACAAACACACACAATGAATTATGATGTTTTTTTAGTTTGAATTCTTTCATATCTTATTCTAACTAATGGTTGGTTCTGCTTCATTGAAGCTGGTATATGAATTGTTGGTAATGGTGATGAAAATGACGTTGTCACTGATGACAATGGAGCCGATAGCGGTGATGATAATGACGTCACTAAAGATGGTGATGGCGACGACGATGACGTCACTGCTGTTGTAGGAGAATATGATAAATTACTTTTTAATACGTTGCTATCTCTTCTATACTGACCAACCTTTACTTTTGCATCATTATCATAATTGCCATTAGAATTAGCAAGAGTATCACTACTATTATCATTATTAGTTGCAGCAGTAGCAGTAGCAGCAGTAGTAGCAGCAGTAACATTATTACTAATGGTTATAATGTTGTATCTTTGACGTTGTTGTTGTTGCTGTTTTTGCAGTCCATGTTGTTGTTTATCAGCATAGTTCACCAATGAAAACTGAGATTGAACATTTCGGAGGACTTCCACATTGTAATCATTAACACTACTGATATCATTATCAGCATTGTTATTACTATTGTTATTATTATTACCATCATCATCATCATTGCTAGTAGTATTACCATTATTATTTTTAATAATCAAAGATGATGGTATGGTTTGTTTTTGTTGTTGCTGAGATGATGAACAGAACGTTGAAGAAGATGATGGTGATGATAATAGCGTTGATAGTCGTGATGATGATGGTAAAGATATTGACGACGACGATGATGATGATGAAAGACAAGAGAGGGATGATGACGACAACGACGACGATGATGATGTGGATGTATTTATAATGGAAGGCAACTGATTACAATCACTGCTTTGATTACATTCATGGCTATAATTATCTTCCTGGCTAACCATATTAGTAGCATTGTCGTTGTTGTTGTTGTCGTCATCAACAGGCTCTATATTATTATTAATATTATTGTTGTTGCTGCTGTCACAATTGTTGATGCTATCAACATTAACGTTGTTGATATTAATGTCATTGACCTCATTAATATTATTATCAGCGTTCTTATTGATGCGGTGGATAGCTTGACTATTGGGACCACCCTTACAGGCATTATTATTATTAATGTTACTGATGTTATTGTTGATGCTTTCATTGATGTTATCTTGAGGTAACGAGACTAGAAATAGCTGCTGTGAGTCAGGATAGATTGGTTCTAACTGCAGAAAGGACAATTCACCATTTAGTAGGGCAGGCCAAAAATTATACTGCTGCTGCTGATGCTGCTGTTGTTGAATTATATTGATGTTATTATTGCTGATGTCATTATCTATGTTGATTTCATATTGCTGATCTGAAATGATGTTGTTGTTGCTGTTGTTATAGTCTTTGTTGTCAAGAGTTATGTAGGTTAAATGTGAATTGCTATCGTTATTATTGTTGCCAATGCTGTTACAGACGACAATTTCTGAGTTGTCGTTGTTGTAGTGGATGTCGTTGCTGCTGATGACATTGTTTTGATCAGTGACAGTAATATGGTCACCATCAATTATCTCCCCATTAGTGACATAAATGATGTCATTGTTGTTGCTGCTGCTGCTGATATTGATGCTGCTGTTGTTGATGTTATCATCGTCATCGACGTTGTTGTTGTCATTGTTAGTGTCATCTTTGTACGTAGGTAGAAGATCGAGTCTGTCGTGGTATGTATAGCAGCTGAGAACTATCTGCCTCAGTGCTGACGTCCAAGATACCTATTGTTGTTCGTTGTTTGGGGAGTGAGTTAAAATCAATCATTCAATCAATCATTCAATCAATCATTCAATCAATTAATTAGTAATTCAACGAATCAACAACTAATTCATCAATTATCCAATCAACCAAATCACTAATCAATTTAACAATTTATAAACCAACAATTCAAAAGACCATCCAACTGACCAACCAGCCAACCAAGCAATTGATCGATCAACCAACTAACCAACCAGCCAACCATCAAACCACCGGACCGACCTTCTGTTTATCTTCATCACTCCTCACATCGCATCGAATGTTGGCCCATGGGACATCGGCCGGCCACCAAACGGGCATCAAACCCTCCTTGCCCCAGCCGGGCTTGCTTCTGCATGTTGAATACTTCAACATCTCTGGGATAAACATTCGCAGTTGGGCCTTGATTTCAATTGGTTGGTTGAATAAATGATGAGTGAATGAATGAGAGAATACAACAAAACCAAAAAAAAACACATTTATAATCACAAAAATATCTCACAACACAATACAACAACAAAAAAACAGCATGGTTACAACATTTAAAAATTAACTTTGCAACAAATTTTAATTTTAATCCCACTTAATGATCACATTTCAATGCAATAAAATCCTGACAGCAAGTCCACCAACCATACCACCACACCACACTCCGACCACACCTACTTGCGTCATCTTATCGATGGGTGTGGGTATGCCCTCAACATTTAGTGGTGGCAATTCATGCTTATTAAAATCTTTGTCAGAGGATTTGTGTGGTGCCTGTAGGGCCAACTTATTGTCCAGGTCAGCAAGTATGACAGATTTTTCCTCCTTCAACTGAAATTGTAAAATAACTTTTGATGTTTATAAAAATACTACAAACTGAAAACGTATTTTAATTCCATGATGTTTATAAATTATACATTAATCAGTTGACTGACTGATTGGTTGGTTGAGTGACTAGCTCAATGATTGAATACTATTAATAATACTAAAAAGAACATCAAACTATCATAAGCCTTACAACATGCCAGTTTTAAATAAAACATAAAATCTTAAAAAGTTTTCTCAAAAAATTAAAGAATAAAGATTTTCATACAAATTTAAAAATTAAAGATTTTCATTAAAAATTTGAAAATTTATTAAGTACCTACCACATCTTCAAGAGGTTGAGAACCAAAGACTCTATAATATAATGGATTAGTCTTGCCAGGAGTGCAACAAAGCAAAACGGCTTGCTGGCCTACCCGTGTCGTATACTCAGATAAAGTTGCCAATAATTTTCTGTCAAATATGAGAAATTCAATTATCATAAAACATGATTAGGGATAGATAAGTAATTAATGTATCTTATTAAATAAGTTGTGACATCTTCAGCAATTAACATATAACTCTAAAATTTTCATGTTTTAAACGTAAAATTGATGATGTGGTTGCTCAAATTATATTTTAAAAAATTGATTTAAAATGTGTAAATATATAAAAACTAAAAATGTTAACAACAGAGCCATTAAAAAAAGTTAACCTGAGCAGACGAGTCTGCTGTCGTTTCCTGACAGTTGGATTGATCTCAAATGAGTGGGGCCTCTTCCTGTTTTTGCCTGTTGAGATGGCTGCAGCTGCTGCTACTCCAACTGGACCTAGAGACGCACATGCTCTATATTTATTTATTTTATTACATCAAAAACATTAGAAAAAATGCAAATTAACATGTCCAGAAAGAATATATTTTTAAAAAATTGCTACCCACCAGCTGATGCCAACTGAGCTGTTATGTCGTCAGTGACTGGGTTGGTGAAGTTAGGATCATTGTAGACATTACTACAGGCACCATCAAGAGAGCTTGCTTCACTAATCGTATCTGCCATGCTATGCACTGGTCCAATGACGAACATTGCATGAGAATTATCGAGCATGTCACTACGTGGTGAAATATGCACAAATCAACTTTCTTATTTAATTTGGAAGTTTAGTTTATTATATTAAACTTTTCTATAAAAATAATTATATAAATATGTACTTGAGTATTCTCAATATGACAATGTTGAATATTTTATATAATTATATTATTATTCAATATAAGGCTCCTTTCTGTCTCGAAAGACAATGGCAGTATCACCCTTACGATTCCTCTTAGCGAGCCAGAGTAGGTAGTGTATTCATATATGATGCACATACTGTATTGGCTTTCTTTCAACACCTCCTGATATTTCCAAGAGATGCACATAATATAATCATATGTTGCAAACAGTGCATGTGAAAACTATTCAATCTATGTTCTTGATACATGATATAAGTACTATAAGTTGACCAACTCTCACTGCCATGCGTAGAGAGAGAGTAAAGTACTCAAAACTATTCAATATGATTTTTTATTATAATATTATGAAAAGATATTGAAATTGTGCGACAACTTTCAGACGCGACATTGAAACGTTGGAAATTAAAATAATTCATTATAGTGTCTGCGGCAATTTACGCGAGAACATTTGTGGTAATTTATGCAACTAAAAAGAGAGAGATGAAACGAATCCGAAACGACGTCACTAACTGGCGAGACGGTTATTAGGCATTTTCATTTTTTATTCAAGCGAAACATAAAAAAAAAGATCAGGCGAAACGTGATAAACTAACGAAAATGATTATTATGTTTTCATTTTTATAAGCTAACAAATTTTTGGCAACTAAAAGATTTTTGTGTCACGGGTCTGGATATTTTGATTCAAAAGTTGATGTGCTTCTGCGACTGCGCAATGGACGACCGTTCGACTGCGCCTGTCTACTGGCAAGTCATCGAAATGTCACAAATTTTCAAGATAATTCCGACATTTTGGAATCTCACCGCGAAATCAAACTTAACATTACCTGAATTATTAAATTAAATCAACCATTTACCTCATTTTTATCTGACTTTTGTTTATTTCTCAAGACAGGAAACGTTTAAAAGTTTGCACGTAAAGAAACGCACTTTGTAATAAAAATTTAATGTGGAATAAAAACGCATTTTTCTACGCCTATGACTGAAAAACAAATTATAAAATAAAAACAAGATAAGAGTAAAATAAAAATTCTTCAAATTTCATCTTCATTCAGTAGCATGTTGGGGATGCCTTTGTTGATTGGGAACTTCCTGCCAGTTTCTGGGCATTCTAAGAATCCCTCCTCTACTTCAACCTGCCAATAATTTTGAAATATTTTATATTTTACTATTAAATTATTTTTCATAAACAAAAGGCACAAACTAACTTTAAAAGTTGTTAAACTAATATAATTCTAATACAATAATTGAGCTATAGCACATGAACTCAACTTGACATAGTAGCATATGAATCACTTAGAAAACCAAGTGTATCTAATAATAGAAAATATATTATATAAAAATTCAATCTTAATGTAATGAGTTATTGAAAGAAACGCCAAGAAGATAAATAATACTCATTAAAATTTGAAATTGAAGCTTTAATAAAAACAAACATACAATTATTCAACTTGGATGAATTATATAATATTCAGGAAGCCTAATAAATGAAATAAATGACAACAAACATAAAAGTTTAATGATTTAATTAATTTTAAAACGTACTTCAAGTAGGGCGTGGTGTGCATTTTTTAAAAAATCCTCGTTTGCCTCAAAGTTCTCTGGCACATCTTTTGGCAAACTAGATGCATGACCAATCTAATAAAGTGAAATAAAATCATTCAAAAAGAAAACTTATGTTGAAATTACAGTTTAAATATTACTCTACTTCTACTCTAGTACCTACAGTCTCACTAAGGTTATAGTTAGCATAGTATAGTATAGTATAGTTATAGTAGTAGTATCTAGTCTAGTGTTTGGGATATATTAAAAAAACTTAAATTGCATTTCAAATAACAATTAATTAAACATTTGAAAGTAAAAAAATAAATCAGAAATTCTGAATAAATGTTTAAAGTAGTTTAAAAGTAATTACAATATAATATTAAATTAAAATATAAATACTAAATAGATAGATAGAGGTAGATCAGATTCAGACAAGAAAAGCTAACAGAATCAGCCGCCTTGTAGAGTGCTGGCCAATTCACTCTCCCCAGCATCTTTTTGATGAATTCGCAATTGTATTCGACGTTCAAGACTTTAACTTCGGTAGCCTACCGTCCGGATTATAAAAAAATTAAATCAGGAAAGAACAAAAAAATAAATAAGAAACAACTAAACTAAAATATTACAAAGGTAACTTTTACTAATTCACTAGTTAGACATACCAAAAGATTGAGTGGATATCCCTCTTTTACGCCTTTAATAATAGCGGAGGTCAATAAGTTATGCGTCAATAACTTCATTTTTTTTAATTTCAGACGAGATGTAGTTCCCCCTATATCGCTCAATAACAAATGTTTTGGCAGATTGGAGATGAAAAAGTGCCAAAAAAAATTAAGTATAAATATCAGTAAAACAAAAACAAAGAATAATAAATCAAACTGCCTATGTCACGCATCAACAATATTGTATCATTTATTTATTTATTATAAAATTACACGCAGAATGATTTTGGAGAACAAATATTTTATTTGTTGACCCAACAAAATTTAAGGTAAATTTACTGTTTAGTGAATCAAGAGCTCAAATTTTTCAAAAGCGTACGATCATGCGATATATACATATTGGGACTATGCAGCTCTCTGATAAACGCTTTATCAATCAACCAAACAACCAATCTATCAACCAATCATTCAAGTTAATCATATACTTGTTAGGATTTGTTGTAAAAATGAACCTTAAGAAAGTGAAATAGTTGAATAACGTTAACATACACAATTGTCATACAGGACTTATGTATAACCTCACGTAAGACATCAAGCAAACATGTATAGCGTATATATTTACAATTACTTACCAAACTTGAAATATGCATAAATATGCAAGTACGTTTGAGTATATATGAATATGTAGGATCTATTGTTAAAAAAAAACAAGTTAGACATTAAAAAAGTTTATTATTTACAAGAAAGATTTGTTTATAAGATTAATCAGATGATACAAGAAAAAAAAACATAAAAATCCCAAGCTTCCACCCCAAAAAAAATTTTTTTTCCAAACTCAAAATTTAAAAATTTCAGACTACGTTGCACACCCACACACATAAACACACGCACAAACACACGCACACAGAAACAGAAAGCTGACATACACTGGATTGAAAATTAATATAAAAATATTGAACACAATTTAAAGGTGATCAAATGAAACACGCTAAAACGAAATTAATAAACGGATAATTAAAACTAAATAAAGTAAACCAAAAATAAAAAATAGACGAAAAAATTATTAACTAATTTAAATAAGTTAATAGCGCAAAATTTTTACATCATCTCAGAGTTTAAATTTACAATGCTTTCACATTCTCCATTTGATTTTTCTAAACGTTACCACTACCGTCCACACCAGTATAAAATTCAGTATAAATACACACGCACACAAACAAACAAAAAACACATAAAATCACATACACAGCATACACACATAAACAAAAACACACGCATATAAAATTTATAAAAATATAATACATTACCATGAATTAATGAATGTATTTATTATACATACATATATACATACATATATATATATATATAAATATATATAATATATATAATTAGAATATTGAAATCATGGGTTTTGTTTCTACACTTAAGATTGAAATAACAAAATTTATTAGAAATTGTGTTATAATAGTGATGTTAGATACATACACACATATGGACATACATTATATATATATATATATATATATATATATATATATATATATATGTTGGGAATAGACCATGATTTTTACAATATTCTATAAATTCTACCGTATGTTTGGCGTTAATATGTTT